TCACAGGCTTTGGTAGGCAGATGATTGAACAGACCAAACAGCATGTGGAATCAAAATACACGATCTCTAATGGTTACCAGGCAGATGCAAAGGTATTTAATCACATAAACCTGTTTTTACCTTTGTTTCAATGCACTAAAAACATGCAATAATGCAAGTCAAATGTGTTTCAGGTCATCTACGGAGACACAGACTCTGTGATGGTGAAACTAGGTGTGGCCACAGTGCAGGAAGCAATGAATCTGGGAAAGGAGGCAGCTGATTGGGTCTCCTCCTACTTTGTTCCACCAATCAAATTAGAGTTTGAGAAGGTACAGAAAACACTCCCAAGATTTCACAACAGAAGCCATCAAATATTATTCGTAATAAGCTTAATAATCTCTTTCACACTTTTTCAGGTGTATTACCCATATCTGTTGATCAATAAGAAGCGGTACGCCGGGTTGTATTTCTCTTCTAATGCTGAACATCATGATAAGATGGATTGCAAAGGAATTGAGACGGTCAGACGAGACAACTGCCCTCTAGTGGCCAACCTTATCAACACATGCCTCCAAAACATCCTCATTGACAGGTACAAACATTGCCACACTCAGAAAACTCCCATGTGCTCAGATACGCAACAGTGACGCACAAACTAGCAAGTGTAAGAGTGAAGACATGACCCTACAAGCCTTAATAAAATAAATTTTTGATTATGTTCTGGTTGCAACACACCTTGCATATACCAACACGTACATTAATTCACATGGCATGACGATGTGTTTTGTGTTTCAGAGACCCTGATGGGGCAGTAGCTCATGCTAAAGAGGTGATCTCTGACCTTCTGTGCAACCGCATTGACATCAGTCAGCTGGTCATAACTAAAGAGCTCACACGCACCGCACAGGAGTATGCCGGCAAACAGGCCCACGTCGAGCTAGCTGAGAGGTGTGTTTGGTTTTATTATCTTAACTGTGAGTTTGTACCTACAAAATTCTCCATTCTGACACTGAAATATGCCGTTCGTGTGATTCAGGCAAATCGGAGTTATTTTTATTTGTGAGTATCTGAAGAGGACTGTGTATAGAAAAGTTTAGATGGCAGTCCTCTGTATGATGCCTGAAAAAGGGATGTTTATAAGTACAGCTGCTTTGTGCACAGGGATATTCATGGTAACCTCTGTAATTTTGTTTTTTCCATTAGCGCCACCTACTGTCAGAGTAAATGTTCTGTTGTTTTTGTTCAGAACAGGGTTTGTTAACTAAAACTAAAACCAGTTGAGAAAACAATTTTGTTACTTAAAATAAAACGAGCATTAACTGAAATTAAATTAAATATTTTTAAAAAATACATTTAGTTTTATTTCAGCTAGCTGCCAAGGCGACATCTCACTTTTTAGTTGAACTAAAGCAAAAGCAAATTACTAAAAAGTGTCAAATTAAAGTGAAAACAGAAAAAATATATAAAAAATCTAAATATTAACAAAAACTATAATAATATATCAATAATTCTAAAATAACACTGGTTTGTTTTTGTTGAAATTTGTATTATTTAAACTGTGAAGTTGTTTTAAGTTTTTTTTTTTTGGTCATTTTACAGTTTAGGATGTTATCGTAGACATTGGTGTTTTTTCAAACGAATGTTGCCTCCTAGACAACATGTAGTTCTATTCTAATATGAAAATATTTCGAAATGATTTCATCTGCTTATTCCAAGAAATTTTTAGAGGAAAAATCCAGAGTTTGCAGGTATGGACTTAGCATTTAAACACTTTCCGCAAACGTGGGTTTCACAGGATGCGGAAGCGTGATGCAGGTAGCGCTCCAAACCTCGGAGACAGAGTCCCGTACGTCATCATCAAAGCAGCAAAGGGAGTGGCAGCATATATGAAATCAGAGGTCAGTGTTGTCTATCTGTTTGTATGTATGTGGCAGATTTTCCTGTACTGTAGTTGTTTATGTTGAGTTCTATCTCTCAGGACCCCATCTATGTGCTGGAGAACAACATCCCTATAGACACACAGTACTATCTGGAGCAGCAGCTGTCCAAACCTTTACTGCGCATCTTTGAACCCATACTGGGCGAGAGCAAAGCTGAGAGTGTGTTGCTGAGTGAGTATCGTCTATTAAGCTTGCAAACATAGCATGTTTAAAGATGGCATGAAATGAAAATGATCTGTATTGTAATTGCATGTTATAGATCTTATTTTGAATGATTCTGTCATATAGGAATTTTATATAGGAATTTCATAAATGTTTTATTTTTGAATTTTTATTTTTTTACCTTATAATGTTTCAGATGTCTTGTGAAACGATAGACTTTCTCTGTTTACGTTTGGCAGTAGCCTAATAATACTGATTTAAGTTCCACAAACCTTAAGTACACCAAACAGTTCTGGCTTCATTTCAAGTTCGACATCACTGAAAGTAATGACTTGCAGTTTCATGAAAGGTGAAATTTTGTGTGAAAGATAAAAAAAGGTCCATGAATGAAACTCAGCTCACACAGAAGTCACTTTCAAAGCAAGCAGGTTTCTGTGACCCACTTGAGCCCGCTGCTAAATCTGTCTGGGAAAATGTTTGGCCTTCATACGAAACTCTCAATCACATGGATTCCTATTGAAAGGACTGGATTTTGCCTGCAAACATTCACAGAACAACAGTACTCAGAACTCACTTTAAGCGAGTCGGACACTAATTCAGTTACCACTCTGGCCAATTCAGCGAGTTTGTTTAGTGAAGGATTTTTCAGTCTGATTTAAAGGGGTCATGTGATGCTTTTTTAAAGATCACTATTTTGTGTATTTGGTGTAACAGAATATGTTGACATGCTTTAATGTTCAAAAAACACATTATTTTTCAAATACTGTACATTATTGTAGGTCCTAGGAAAACTTGAAATCGCATCATATGACCCCTTTAAACTCTTTAGGCTCTTCTGAGTCTTTATGAATGATTCACTGAAACAGCCAGCTCATAAGAGTATTTATTTGTGAAACGACACTGTTTGTTCATATGTTTTTGAGTGCAGCCAGCAAGAACTTCAGAATAGAAAGACATTTTTATTGTTTTGTTATATAAACCCTGTTTATCTCATCAAATTCATTTCAAACTGCAAACTCTGATAAAAATCGGATTTCTTTCAGAAATTAATCCGCTAATGCATCTGCTTTTGTGTGTTGTTTCAGAGGGCGATCACACACGCTGTAAGACGGTCTTGACATCTAGAGTTGGTGGTCTCATGGCTTTCGCTCAGAAACGAAGCACTTGCATTGGCTGCCGAGCTGTGCTCAAAACCAATGGTATGTATTAGGTGTGTGTGTGTGTGTGTGTGGGGGTTGGTCTCAGTAGTACCACAACAAATCACAAAACTGATGTATTTCTGATGGTTTACCTCTCTACAGTGGCTGTATGCGACTTCTGCAAAAAGAGAGAGTCGGAGCTTTATCAGAAAGAGGTGTGTTTTTATATGTACAAATCTTGGCAAACTTGTCTTCATAAGTGGGGCTGAAGATTGTTTTTCTGTCTTTTAGATCGCTCATCTGTCATCTCTAGAGGAGAAATTCTCTCGTCTGTGGACTCAGTGTCAGCGCTGTCAAGGTTCACTGCATGAAGACGTGCTGTGTACCAGGTATTTACACACATGTGCACACTAGGCCTGGACAATATATCAAATATTCACTACATAGGTATAATTACTTATAGTGAATATACCAGTGAATAAAACATATTTTTGTTTTCGTTCTTTTTCAGTCGAGACTGCCCCATCTTTTACATGAGGAAGAAGGTGCAGAAGGATTTAGATGATCAGGAGAAGCTCATCTCCCGTTTCGGTTGGTGATAGACAAGGATCTTTTCTTTTGCCGTTATTTTTCTCAACATTCATTCATCATCTTACCTCAAAGAAGGAGAGTCGGTCTCACTCCATTTTGTAAAGAATCTTCATTTTCTAGTGGCTGAATAACTAAAAAAATAAAGTGCATTTTTGTAAAATGGTTGTCTTCTCTTTTCTTCTCTTGGCTGATTTAACATTATACCTACATATTTTTTTGATCATATTGTTTTTGTTTGTTTGTATTTTAAATCAAAATCCTTTTTCATTACAGGCTTTAAGTGTGAAATAAAGGCATAATGGCTGTTCCCATAGTCATTAAAAATACATTTAAGTTATTTAAAGCCATGAACAATTCTATTGTCAATATTATTTTTATAATGCTATCATCAGGTAGAAATGGATTTTTATGAGTGAAATTTCTGATTTTTATTTCTGAGTTGCTTGTCCAGTAATCGCAGTAATGGTGACCAGGTTGGGCTTTAAGTAAATCTACAGTTCATGAGTCTGTTATCTGAGATTCAACCCATAGCTTTTGTCTTAAAATTGATCCTTTACCATAAAGCTACTTTTGTACCTTTATTTTTTTACGTTCAACAGGGTTCAGAAAACAAAAGGGAAATGAGAAAAAATTCAAACGTCACCCTAGGCAATATTTTATATATCCCACATATATTGCATTCAGTCAAGTCCAAGCTATATTAAGGGTTACATACAGGTATTTGAAATCCCACATGAATCATACTATAAAAAGAATCTTTCTCATGCAACCTAGGTCATATGGTGAAATTATAGGAATTAAAAATACATATATTTCTTGCTAAGTTCCTCATTATTTTAACAAAGCTACATTTGGCCAAAAACTTGTATTACCCAAAGCACTTACTACTGTGTGTGGCCATTTATAGCACACATCTGATTTTAACGGGATTCTGAGAATGACATTTCAAAACTACACACAGGCAAAAAATTATTATACTCACTGGATCAACTTTTCTGATTATGTTCAGAAAAACTGATGCAACTACCCTGGTAATACTATAATAACACATGATATACAGGTACATCTAAAAAAATTAGAATATCATGAAAAAGGTCATGTAACACTTTATAAAGCAGATATAATGACTGAAAAGTTACCGTTTCAAATACAATTGGAGGTTTGAATATTGAGGAAATTACAGTCATCTGGCCAAAAGTCTCTTTATTCACAAAACGTATAACTACAGTTATCAATGTGGCAAAGGGAATGCATCACAAGTTTTGGTCACATGTTTAGCCTGAACCAAAACTATTACTGTCTCTCCAGTCAATCTAAAAAATAAAACAGAGAAACAGGAAAAAAATGTATTGCCCTACCCAACCAAGCCTCATCACAGGTGGGAACAACTGGCATTTTACACAATTATTACATTATTATGTAATAATTGTAATAATAACTATTACATTATTATGTAGTATTAATACTACATGAAATGTTAATGTCCAATACAATGCTGGTATGTGTACTGAAATGGTTCAATATTAACTTTTACAAAAATACAGGATTATACCTTAAAATACTGCTGGGAAAAATAAAAAAGCGAGCTTGATTTTTCTGAATTTTATAATTATAGAAGACCTACATTATGTGTAGGACAGTTCAGTTTTAGTCCAAGCCATGAGAACAATAAAAACCTAGGGAGAAATGAATTCTGGGATGGTGACGAATGCAAAGAAAAATGGTGAAAATAAAAGAAACCCCCTTTGATGGTGAAATGACATTTTTAGCAAGTACTGAAAACATTTTCTAGATAAATCCCACAATGCATGAGGTGGAAACACTTCTTAAGGAGTACAAAACATTATATTAGTGGTTTTGAATGCGGTGACCACTTGTTCTACTGTGCTTTCCCACAGGCCACAAAAACTTTAGGGGACTTCTGAGCTTCCTCATTCCCGACCACCGTTAACAGAACCAAGCGGATGTGCTGATTGGCTCACGAAGTTTTGAGGACATTAGACATGATCAGGCTTACTTAAAAAGAGTTACCCATTACCGACTTAAAGTATATCCCTTCACCACCTCATTAATTTGTTATAAAGGTCAAAGTTCCTTGCTGCTGTGATTCTAAAGTACGACTGTAAAACTATGACACACATCAGGTCCTTTTAGCACAGAAGGGGAAGCAGCAGCATAAGGTTAATGAGTCCACTCGAGAAAATTTTATCCAAGTTTGATAGTCACATCAAAAAATGTCTTTTCCAAATCAATTCCACAGTTGCTCGATTCTCATTGAGGTCTCATGCTCACATACATACAAACACATACAATAGCCAGTCAGGTTCCTATTCCTCAAAGGCTGGTGGCGAAAGAGAGAGTGGTAAGAAAAGGAAATGGGGTGTGTATGTGTGTGTAATGCTACAGTAGTGTGTGTGTGTGTGTGTGTGTGTGTGTCTGTAACCTTGAGTGCATTGCTATCACAGGGGGGTGCAGTGCGAGGCTGTATGCGTGTATCGCTATAAAAGAGTGCAACGTCTCTGTGTGTGCTTTTTGCTCTTCTTATTGCTGCGGTTCGTCTCCTTGTATCTTCGGATCTCCCGCACGAGAGAGTAAAATGCCTCTTCAACTCCCTGCAGACAGAAAAAGACAAGACAGATTTAGAACAAATGGTGCTTTTTAGCAACATGCTGAAGAGAAATCTAAGAAATCACAAAAGTTTGTTTAAATTTGGATTATGAAATTACAAACATGATACTTTTACTCTGATTTGCCCCCCCACCCAAAAAAAATAAACAAAGGCACACTTGTGCGGTCATCACCATCATTGTGTCTTCAAGTTTGCTGGCATGTTTCTGGTGGGCTGGGTTTTGGAGAGGGCATGTGTGACTGAAGTCTGGTACACTGTTTTATAATCTCAAAACTTATCAAACTGCTCTGTAATATTCAGCTTGATGTTTCTCAACCACTTGGTTTGATATTTCATCATCTAATGCAGCCACATTCATACATTGTTAGGAAACATTCACACAGCACACTGTGCTGCCATTCTGTTGTTTGTTTGTTTTTTCCAAATTTGCTTGATGAAAAAATGTTTGATTGTTGCACATGCATCTCACATCTTTTGCAGAGTCTGACACATGACACAGTGTTCTAAAATCACAGCACTCAGGTAAGTAGTTCAACTTAAAAAAAAATAAAAATAAAATAGAGATACCCAAACCAGGGCCCACGTCAATGATGAAATCGATTTGGCCCACCATGCCATTTCCACGAGGCTCCACGAGGAAAAGTCTTTCTTAGAAGCACATCATCCTTTTTTATTTTAGCTCTTTGTTTTAACCTTTTTTGGTTCATTTTTACATTTTACATTCATGTAGACAGTATAAGCAGGCCCGGCGCCAGAGGCTTCGCCCCCCCACGGACATCCCTGTGCCCCCCCTCCGGACCGAGGGGAGCGGCCGGACTTTAGTTTCGCGTGTTTAATAGTCTAACTCATAGTGTAAAATAGTCTGATTGCTTTTAGATGGAAAAGCTGCCCATAACTCCTGGTCTAGGATCTGTTTTCTTCTTAATAATAGCATAACAAAATAGATTTGGCAAACAATCCAGTGTATCTTGCCCTTCTGTTTTGGAAAGCGTTAAATGATTTTACAATGCATCTTCGCAGAGGGGAGCAAAGTAGCCAATCACAGACATGTTTGTTGATTTCTACAACGCAATGGCCAATCAGATGTGTTTAGGTTGGAATCCAGGCACTCACCTCTTTTTGTCCGGTGCTGAGTGCTATCATGCTCGTAACTTAATTAAAAAAAAGTTTCATTGTGTGGTCACATTCATTGATTAAAATGGAACTTTGTGAGATTGTGATGAATGAGTGACAGTTTTTAATAAATTTAAAGGGAGTGCTCTTTCCATGCTGTATACGATAATATATTCAGAATTTCAATAAAACGTGTTTTTCATGCTTGACAAGCGGCCACGTAAGACACAGACAAAGCTAACTACTACACTATATAGAAAAAGATAATAGCCTAATTTCAGAAGCACAAAGTGATGTGATTCTGCAACCGAGCCTGGTCCAAACGCAGGATTTAGGTAAGGAAACGGTTATTAATTATTTGTATTGGTTGCCATGCCAAATCATGCACCTGCTTGCTTTTTTGTTTAAGTGCTTTTGTGAACGTATATGCTTTAATAACAAATAATTGTAACATTTTACAATAAGGTTCCACTAGTTAATGTTAGTTAATGTATTAAAGTGTTAGTTAATTATTGTAAAGTGTTACCCAAATAATGTATTTTGAGCATTCACTTGAAACTAAGCGCAAATACCCCTGTCTAGCAGAAGTTCACACAGAAAAACAATAGAAAAGCAGAGCAGTGGAATGCAAAAATCTGTTTTGTGTAAATCAGTGCCACCCACCTGTCGCGTCTTGGCAGATGTTTCGACAAACGGGACCCCGTAACTTCTGGCGAGCTCTTGGGCTTGACGCGTCTCTACAGTACGAGAGGCCAGGTCACTTTTGTTCCCCACCAGCACCATCGGGACATTGTCACTGTCTTTGACACGGTTTATTTGCTCCCTGCACAGAAACAAAACACAACATGGTTGATTTTTTCACACAGACTGATTAGTGAATTTCTGCTAGGACTTTCTCTAATCACACACTGGTTTCCTTACTCATCAACTTCAAATCACTGAATTGATGTCTCATTTTTAGCTCAAAATCAGTCTAGAAACTTTTCCATTTGATTACATTTTAAGTTTTCAGGAAGTGAAATGCTTTATTTGCAGTTAGTCGACACAGACCCAACACACCCATCTTGAGATCCACAAAACAAAAATATAACATAAGAGTATTAAAAAGATAGCCCACCCAAAAATGTTTCCATTCCCATTGACTTCTATTGTATTTTTTGTCCATATAATGGAAGTCAAAGGGACCGGAAACTGGTTACCAACATTCTTCAAAATCCTCAGAAGAAAAGTCATGTGGTTTTGGACCGACACAAGGGTGAGTAAATAATGTCAATCTTCATTTTTGGGTGGATTATCGTTTTAAGTCTGGAAGAATATTTTTGATGGTAACTGATGCTGAATATCCTTCACGTATATCAGTCTATTCTAATGTGTTTGGCTGTATACCTGTAAAGATGTACGTCCTCAAAGGACTTTGCGTTGTTGATGGCAAACACACACAGAAAGCCCTCTCCTGTCCTCATATACTGGTCTCTCATGGCACTGTACTCCTCCTGACCTGCGGTGTCCAGGATGTCCAGCAAACACGTCTCTCCGTCAATCACAACCTGCTTTCTGTAAGAATCCTGCATGGAATAGACGTAAAAAGAACACAAATCTGAGTTTTTATACACTAATATGATCAACAAAGAATTCACATGTTATACTCTGAATACATTATTCATTTTTGGAAAAACAATAACAACAACAGAAAAAGACTATCTTAATTAGGGCTGCACGATCAATCGCATGCGATATTTAACGCGCATCTTATCAGTAAAGCCGGTTCTGTAATCAGCGGTAAATCTCCATCACCCGCGGGCTTTCACATTGAGCAGCATTAACTACACAGAGCCGTTGTTCACTGACGAGCTGCGCAAAACCATGTTCATATTCGCGTGATTTTTTGCGCTGCTCATCAGTGAACAACGGCTCTGTGTAGTTAATGCTGCTCAATGTGAAAGCCCGCAGGTGATGGAGATTTACCGCTGATTACAGAACCGGCTTTCTGATAAGATGCGCGTTAAATATCGCATGCGATTTATCGTGCAGCCCTAATCTTAATCCACCCAAAAACGAAAATTGTCATTATTTACTCCCCCCTCATGTAATTTCAAACCTGCATGCATTTATTTCTTCTGGGGAGCATGAAAGAAGATATTTTGAAGAATGTTGATAGTCAAACAGTTTTGGGTCCCATTGACTTCCATAATATTTTTGAAATGAAAGTCAATGGTACACAAAACAGATTGACTGCCAGCATTCTTGGAAATATCTTGTTTTGTGTTCCACAGAAGAAAGAAATTCATAGATGTTTGAAACGAAATAAGGAGGAAGTAAATGATGATACAAATTTCATTTTGGGGTGGACTATCCCTTTAAAGAAGGTGAACTCGTACCTCAATAGTGGGGTCATACTCGTCTACAAAGTGATTCTGAATAAGCTGGATGGTCAGTGCACTTTTCCCAACGCCACCAGCCCCAACAACTACCAGCTTGTATTCTGTCATTCTGGATGAGAGAGGGTGAATGTGGAGAGGGTTAGAAACAGAAAACAGTAGTCTTAATGGATTTAATCAGAAGCTACTTGGGAAAAACATAACCTTTACAGATACAAGCTTCTTACTCTGCCTGATACAATTTTGCCAGCGTTAAAAGACTGAACTTAAAAAAAAGATAAGTTCTCTTTCACTGTATGCATAACAAATGCACTGAAAGTGAATGGTGACCGAGGCTGTCATTCTGCGTAACATCTCCTTTTGTGTTCAACGGAAGAAAGAAAAGTCATATGGGCTTGGATCAACATGAGGGTGGGTAAATGATGACACAATTTTCGTTTTCTGGGCGAACTGTCCCTTTAATAACCGGAAAAGAACATACATATTACATAAGGTGGTTGACTGAGATTTTAAGTCGCTGCATTACGTCAACAAATAATATCTGAAGACATTTAAGACTAAGGTTTAAGATATTGTTTACTCAGTTCCTATCACATTTACTTAGCCGGCAAGAAGCACACTGAAACAGCAGCTCCTTATAGCTTTATATCAACAGGTAAGAAGTTATTTATCGGCTTATTTGTGTATTTTACCTCGCGTGTGGTTGTTAAATCAGTTCGGCTCGCCCAAACGAAGCGCCTCGAGTTGAATTAGTATTGAATGAAGTCCAAGGATTAGCCCCTGAGCGACATTACGATCGACCAGACAACTAAACTCTCCCGAGAGTCGAAGACAGGCTGGAATTATTCGGGCTGATGAAAGTCCACCAGTAAAAAAACACAAAAAAAACTTATTGTTTTAAATATGTTTCTCTACTCTGTACAAATTTCACGATAACCCAAATAAATCCGCCCTTAGAGGCATTAGCAGCTCCTCTCGGCTAGACTCTCCCATATTCATTGAGGGCGAGGAGGGGGTGGGATCACTGGAGGAGATGACCAATGAGATTTAGCCGGCCCGTCGGATTTTTGAATTCTATTGGGCGAGGAATAGACGGAAGTAAGAATTGACCAATGGTAGTGCAATGCCTCTTTCCAATTTCTTTCTCATGTCCCGCCCCGTGAATATGGACCAATGGGATTCGTTTTACATATTAAAAGACCAGAGATGCACGCCATCAAATGTCTCCGTTCATACAGTAATCGCTGTACGTTTCACCTAGCCCTTAAAAGAACATAAAATATACCTCAGAAAATACATTTAGTGCTAGTTTCTTAAACCTAATTGCATTTACAAATAATGCATTTTGCAAATAATAATTGTATTATTATTTAGTTCTTACTTAATGCAGTCTGCAGAGGGCTTACAATGATTGAGGAATTAACCATGAAAGGGGAAACTGTAGTCAATTGCAAAAGTCTAATAAATAATCTAAGAAATAATAAAAATGATCCCAATAAAAAAAAAAAATTGTGTAGAGTATGCTTTTGCCTTTTCCTTCTAATTATTATACATTCTTATTTTATTTTTTTAGCATGTGTAAATATGTATGTCTATAATTTAATGTTAAAAGTGCTTTGGCAATGTAAAGCCTTTTACCAAATCTACTTGAAGCTAAATCTGGTCAAATAAAACGCTATTATTTTAGCTTATTTTAATTTATTCATTTTGACCACTAGCTGTCACTGACAACAACACAACAAAAAAACTCTGGTGCAAAGATGCTCTCTCTCTCTGTCTGAATGACAGATGGATAGAGGGATTATCTTGGTGATTTTAGGCAAAGATTCGAGGACAGCAGATGCCCTCTGTGGGTGGAGAGGAGCATTAGGGAGGGCAGAATGGAGAGATGAATAAAGGTATAAGCAGAAAAGATCTGACGCACGTGGGCAAGTAATCAGAGTGATGCTGGAAAAAATGGAATTTGGCTTGTATTGTAATGCAGATTCATACAAACACATCGCCTACCACACGTCTGCTGTCTCGAACAGTTTCTTGTGCCTGTTTGATCGGTTATTATTGCAAAGAATGAATGCTACACACTTAATACATTTAATTAGTTTTATTGTACACAGGGAATTTTTTCACATATACAATTTGTACACTTTTTTTATTGTTATTATATTATTATTATTTCTATTTTTTTTTCTCCAAAGGGAAACATTTTTAGTTGTTTTGTTTATATTGTGCTGACAAGTCAAGTTACATTTAGGAAAACAAAAGAAAGAAACAAATTAAATGTTCAGGAAAGAAGTGTAAAAAAATACAAACACATGAAGCAGAATAACATCAAATTATGGGGCAGAATCAGACTGATTGGTTCCCTAAACTCATACTGCACTCGGACTGAGTGGCCTCTAAATGGATGTACATGATGAGGAGAAATCTGCAAATGCTGAGATTACAACCCACCAACTTCCCACGCTGATCTAGAATCTCAGAATTTTGGCACTTACTCCTTGTAATTCACCTGGCATTTTGTTTATTTCTGTGTTTGTGTGTGTCCATATATTTGAACTTCTGGCATTCCTGTAGCTCAAACAGCAGAGTGTGGCATCAGCAATACCAAAGTCATGGGTTCAGTTCCCATCTACCTTTTGGATAAAAACATCTGCAAATGCATAAATGTAAATGTACTGTGTAAATGAAGTTCCTCAACGCAAGTTAGGGAGGAGCGAGCCCATCTAATCTTTCAATCAACAGCCAGAGTATATAAGCAGCTGCTTACCTCTCTCCAGTCTCAGCTGTTCCAGCATCCCTCCACCTCCCCAATCTCCACCTTCATCTTAGGTACCTTGCCCTTCGTAATCATCCTATATCAAGTCCCTGGGGGTATATCAGAGCTCGAGTTGAAGCTGCTTCATCGAGCCCCTCATCAGTGGACAGCAAGCCAAATAAGTTTACACACAATTTCCTTAAGATTATATGGGCAAACAAACTCGTTAATTGTGTTGAATTAAAAACCCAAAAATTCAGCGGGTCCACCAGACCCACGAACACTGGCTGAGTAACAAAAATGTGAATACCACACAAGGGTTAAAAGAGCCATAACAGTGTTTGATGGTGGCTTGAGTTTAGCTGCATCTTGCTTTTGCAGTTGTGGGGTAGCATAGCGAGTCACACCATCAACTGTAACATGTTCTGTTTTCTCTTCCAACGAACTCGTTAAATGACTATAAATTTGCCTGGCAGTAATATCAGTAAACCTTTAATGTGCATAAAACAGATTCATCCACAGATTTATTGAATATGTGTGCATGTACTGTGTGTAAGCTTGTGAAAATTTGTATATGTGAGTAATATAGTACATCAAAGGATGAAAACACACTTGTGCACTCACCCAATGATGAAGATCTGAGTTGTTTAAACTCGCACACACATTCAGTCATGTTGAAAGGACTAGTTTAGCCCAAAATGAATTAAACCTCATTTCTAAAATATATGTAAAATATTTAACACACACACACACATATAAACAAACTTATAAACCACATAAAGAGTAAATAATGACAGAATTTTCTTTTTCAGTGACTGTCCCTTTAAGGATATTGGATATGGATATAAGTGCACAAACTTATGATCAAATAAATGTCTACACATACACAGATTTGCTTGAACCCTTTTAAACCATTTAAAGCACTGGATAAAACAAAAGGAACTGAGCACAGTACGGAAACTTACACACACACTCACCATGAGCACACACACAAAAGCTCATATACTGTATACTCGTACACCACAACCATAAACATGTCTAACATCACTGTCATTTTAAGTGCATTACAGTGATTTTGGCAGGAAGTCTATAATACTGAACATATAATTCACAGAGCACCACTGTATTCACAATCTGACACAAATGACTCACATCTACACACACACTTCAGTGTGTATGTTTATAGAACAATCATCACATAATCTGATCATCAGTTTGGAAACTCATTTGCTTATTCACACACTCACACATTCACTCACTCACTCACTGTGTCTATTTATTTACTCTGTATTGATCTTTATTCCTCTTTATAACTCTTAAATATCGACTCTGTTTCTTCCCACTATGTGAGCTCTCTCTCTCCCTCTCCGCTATATAAATAACTATTTGTCCCGACTGGTTGAACATGTTCTTCTGTTTTATCCCAATCTGATACCCATCCTGCCCCAGAACCTCCTCCATTCGGACCACCAGAAAGGGGATTATTTATAGCTCCATACTGTCCACCAGTCCTGTACAGCTCTTCCGTTTCATTGGCTAGTTCGTCCTCTCCCAGAATGCCACACTTCTCCTCACTGGTATTCTCAGCATCCGCCCATGGCTGCTTCTCACCTGATGCAAAGATCCCTGAGAACATATTCAAATCCAGCATTTCAGGAGAGAAATTACAAAAATAATTTAGAATATTCATTATTTGTGAAATAAAAAGAGATTTCAACGTGTTTGCATGTTGAAATTATGACTAGCTGTCTGAACACAACATACCATAAAAGATCACACCCCCATAATGCACCAGTGCTGCAATGAGGAAGACATATTGCCACTCTTCACGTGTCTACAGTCACAAATAAATAAATAAATAAATAACACCAATTAACAACAACAATAAACAACAGAAATCAATTATTTGACATGTGAAGTTTGTGTGATATTAGTATGTACCTTATGTTTGGTCATGGCTCCAACTATGAGAGGACACACCATTCCTGACAAAGTTCCCACTCCATTGGAGATTCCCATCAGGATACTGGCATAACGTGGAGCAATGTCAAGATGATTCACATTAAACCCTGAAAGGGAAAGAATGTAAGAGGAATGTATTTACAATACATGCATCTTAACAAGTATCTAAAACTGCAAATTTACATCTTACAATTGCAACTTTATTTCTCATAATTGCGAACTTATATCTCACGATGAGATTTTATTTCTTTTAAAGTAACTTTAAATTTTGTATTTGTGACTTTATGTCTAACAATGTTACTTCATATCTCACAATGTCACTTTTATATTTGATTATAATCATTATCCTACATTTATCTTTTTTAATAAAAAGGCATAAATAGGTTTCCATAGAATATATAGTATCTGAGTAACTACGGATAATACTTGTCCTCAATGGATGCAGCAGAGTGATAAACAGTACTGTTGAAAAGTTTGGGGTCATTAAGATTTTTTTTTTTTTTTTAAGAAATTAATACTTTTCTTTTGCAAGGACGCATTAAATTGATCAAGAATGACAGTAAAGGCAATTATAATGTTACAAAAGATTTCTGTTTAAAATAAATGCTGTTCTTTTGAACTTTCTATTCATCAAAGAATGCTGGAAAAAAAGTATTACGGCTTCCACAAAAATATTAAGCAGCACAACTGTTTTCAACATTGATAATAAGAAGAAATGTTTCTTGAGCAGCAAATCAGTATATTAGAATGATTTCTGAAGGATCATGTGACACCGAAGACTGGAGTAATGATGCTGAAAATTCACTTGAAAACAGTATTTTAAATTGTAATAATATTTCATGAAATTTTTGATCACATAAATGCAGCCTTGGAGAGCATAAGACACTAAAAACATGAAAAAATCCTACTGACCCCAAACTTTTGAATGGTAGTGTACACAAATGCTAAATGATTTCTTTAGTGTGTTTTGTCTTTATTCTTTTCTTTTACTAACCTGAAATTGCAAATCCACTGAAGCCAACAGCCAGTACAAGGAAAGAAATGGCTATTCCTTTGGTATGTGAGAAACCAACAACCAAGAGTAGAGTGGCTTCCATTCCAAACCCTAAAACACACACAGACACACACAACAGTACAGTCTCTTGGATAAAACATACAAGGTTTACTGTGGGTCATGGTGTACCTGTGTCTGATTATACCAATGCCACCCATTTCCTGCATGCTCTGATGCATCTGTCTCTGTGTTGTGTGTGTTTGTATGTTGTGTGTGCAGATGATTGTGAG